AGTAAGCAGTTAGTCACTCTTTTACAAGAATTCATGAGAGAACCCCGGCATGACTCGGCGGGTGAACTGGCAACTATATGACCCTTTCCCAAAGTCATGCATTCCTCTCGCATACCAGGAGAGCTTAGTGAATGAGTGTATATCACACCGACAAAAAAATGCCGAGTGAACGTGATTATCGTGGTCACGTTAGGGTCATCAGTCACGAATTTTATAAATAAGGGTCATATTTACAAGGTCCGGGTGAAGCTAGAACTTCGCTAAATCTCAATTGATTGAATGATTGTTTACTGTCTCCATTTCCCAATGATAACAGTTCCAACTTTCCCGCACGTCCTCTTCTTCCTTTGTTCAAGATCGACCACCTTGAGTCTCTTGCAGTCAGTCTCTTTAATGCTTGCTTGTATCGGAAACGGGGCCTTTGCCTCATTAGTGCGTTGCGGGAGATGCGGTGTGGCCTTTTAGACTTTCGATTTTCTATACTGTTAGTATGAATGAAAGCCTCTGCTCAGTGGCGATAAGAGGCTCACTATTGGACTGGTTTGTTTCGTGTGATTGGTGTTTGGGGTTGTTATGAGGTGGTATGTAGGCTTAGCGTGAAATAGAAACTGTTACTGTTTTTGCAAATAGAGAGATTGGTCCATCGCGAAATTAACTTGGGTTCAGTCAGTTTATTTAAAGTATGATTTTCATTGAGACAGATCGGCAATAGCTGTCGTTTAAGTATCTCTGTAGGTAATATATGTATATTTTGCGACAAGTTCTAACTATACTGCATTGCAATGACATAGTTCAGGAAGGGAAAATTACTTGCATAGCTGTAACAAGTTCTATTGCAAGATAGGAAATTGAAAGAGCGGATTCTAAATAGTTTTTTTTTTTTATTTGATTCCCACCTAGAAATCGAAGTCAATTGGAGACAGACATTAAGGAAGCCTATGTTGTGTTTGGTGTTCCGAATGTAACGCTCAGTTGTTAAGGCATGAATGCAACGACGTAATTTGTTTGTAAGTTTTCTTGGAACGGAAGTGGTTTCTCTATCGTCGTTTCAGAAATTCTTTTTCAATCTCTCTATTTCTCATCCTCATGCTTACCCCCCCCCCTCTCTCTCTCTCTCTCTCTCTCTCTCTATATATATATATATATATATATATATATATATATATATATATATACATATATATATATATATATATATATATATATATATATATATATATATATATATATAAATAACCTTCATCGTCATCCTGTAACATTGCTGCAGGACGCAAGCCTTTCCTAGTCTATTCCGGTCTTGTGATCTGTTTTCGATTTTGGCCCCGAGTTTCGTTATTTCGTCACGCATCTTGTCACTGGCCTAGCCCACGGACCCCTTGTGTCAGCTATATCCCAGTTTGTTACCTTTTTCTGTCGTTCTATCTCCGACATATGTGATCTTTCCATTGCCATTTTTCTTCTTAATGCTCTCCTGCATATTTTCCACTTTGATTTGTTCTCTGATCCATGTTATCTTCTTCCTATGTCTAAGGTTAATTCCCAGCATCAATCATTCCACTCCCTTCTGGGCACTTACTAGTTTCCTCTCCAGTAGCTCGATCGTAGTCCATGTTTCTGGTCCATATGGCATCAATGGCAAATTACCTCTTGATGTGCTGCTGTTTCTGCCGAAGGCGCTCCTCTTCGGTGGATGTATACCGCTTCCACTTATATGTGTTCAAATCGAATTTGGATGTTGAATTAATCTTTAATTTTCTTCCTGTTCATCTAAAGTCCAATTTTCAGATTTTCTCTGTTCAAAGGGTTTGATAATTGTTGCAGTCTGAAAATCTTAAACTGTTTAAATGATCGTCCCCTATTTTGATATCCTTTCCACCTCAATCTATCTTCGTGAATATTTCCTCAAAGCAATTTTGGTGAGATGGTGTCACCTTGCCTAATACCTTCTTATTGGTATTTGTCAGTTTGTGTATAGGGTTTGATCTCCGATACTTCATTTTCGTACAGGTATTTTGTATATTCCTTTTTTTTGGGTATCAAAATGGTTGTTAGATTTTTCCAAGCTTTCGGAGTTTTGCCATTGGTAAGGCAATCGTTAAAACGAGTGGCTTTGTTTGCTGCTGATAATGCTGTTCTCTCCTAATGTTTTCCCTCTTCCATGGGTTATATATACATATATATTTATTATGTATGTATGTATGCGTATAGTTAAATAAATTTCTCTCTATATATATGTGTGTGTGTGTGTGTGTGTGTATTATATATATATATATATATATATATATATATATATATATATATATATATATATATATATATGCATATATATATATATATACACACACATACACATATATATGAATGTATGTATGGTTATATATATGTACACATACATATGTATATATATGCCGTGAATTTACAGTATATGTATATAAGTGTTTCTTTACATATGTCTGTGCATGCCTGTGTGCTGCCTCGTCAGATGATTGTGATTTGCGAA